GTTGTATTTTTATACACCTGTGTGTTTCACGCAGTTGAAGTTTTATACGCCTGTGTGTTTCACGCAGTTGTATTTTTATACAGTTGCATTTTTATACGCCTCTGTGTTTCACGCAGTTGTATTTTTATACACCTGGGTGTTTCACGCAGTTGAAGTTTTATACTACTGTGTGTTTCACGCAGTTGTATTTTTATACACCTGTATGTTTCACGCAGTTGAAGTTTTATACTACTATGTGTTTCACGCAGTTATATTTTTATACACTTGTGTGATTCACGCAGTTGCATTTTTATACGCCTGTGTGTTTCACGCAGTTGTATTTTTATACAGTTGCATTTTTATACGCCTGTGTGTTTCACGCAGTTGTATTTTTATACACCTGTATGTTTCACGCAGTTGAAGTTTTATACTACTGTGTGTTTCCGCAGTTGTATTTTTATACACCTGTGTGTTTCACGCACTTGCATTTTGATACGCTTGTGTGTTTCACGCACTTGCATTTTGATACGCCTGTGTGTTTCACGCAGTTGAAGTTTTATACACCTGTGTTTCACGCAGTTGAAGTGTTATACACCTGTGTGTTTCACGCACTTGCATTTTGATACGCTTGTGTGTTTCACGCACTTGCATTTTGATACGCCTGTGTGTTTCACGCAGTTGAAGTTTTATACACCTGTGTTTCACGCAGTTGAAGTGTTATACACCTGTGTGAAACACACAGGTGTATAAAACTTCAACTGCGTAAAACACACAGTAGTATAAAAATACAACTGCGTGAGACACACAGTAGTATAGAATTTCAACTGCGTGAAATACACAGCAGTATGAAAATTCGGCTGCGTGAAACACACAAACTTCACGCATGCGTGGAGTGTATGGAGTGTACGGGAGTGACTCACGCAATGGTGCGAATAGTCACGGCCTAAAATTAAATGTGAAACAAATCCTATGAAATCTAACACGCGTCCACGTCCAACGCAAAGAGACAATCACGACTCTAATCAACTCGCGCTAACCAGCAACATTCTCACCGTTCCGCGAAAAACCCGAATAATAACAAAAAATGAAACGGACCCGAGATCGTATGGAATCGAACAGCCGAATACACCACCCGTATCCCCACGTAATCCAAACGCAAAATTCTCATAATTATGCACAAAAAAAAGGAACAATCGAATTCCACAATAATCCTCAAAAGAGTTCTGCGGCACAACTGCGGATGGTTACGAAAACATGCGGCAACGCGAGTCGAAACTCAAAATCTCATCTATACTTTTGGTTAGATGCAAAATTCTCCCCAGAGGGGTATCACCCAAAGGCACTCTACCCGAAGGCCATGAAGGACTCGATGAGGGCTAGTCACCGACTCCTCCTCGAATACTCAACCCTCGACCACTCGACTCTCAACTACTCTTCGAATACGCAAAAATCGCTCAATTTATACCCCAAAAGTGAAAAGAGAGCGAGTATCTAACGCCAAAAGATAGAACGAGAGCGTTATATCCACGCAGCGGGGTCAGCCGCTGTGACGTAGCAAATGTTCAGCGCTAGGCATGACGAAGCTGCTAAAGGGATACGTCAACCTAATAGCCATAAACGCGTAATTCGATTCAGCTTGAACCGACAACAGACCAAAACAACAAAAGAAAAATGAAACGGAGTAAAAGGGCAGTAATTAGCCCACATAAGATCCACTAACTATCATTACCTCTTCGGGGCTGCATTTTCAAAGATTACCGGGGCAGAGACGCAAGACACATCAAAACTATAATTCAACAGAACATATAAAGCACCATAAGACAAAACTTGATTCCCTCAAACGTATAGCGACCTTGGCAATTCACACGGTTGCAACGGTCGCGATTGGCCGTGTGACCTTCCACCGAAACTCAAAACCGAAACTGTCTCATCCCGATAAATCCATACACTGAGCGCCAGCATTTCAGCTGGGCCTCCACATTTCCCCGAAGATTAAATGCAAGGGGGATTCCTATCAATAATCACGTAGCTCGATAATATTTTGGCCCAAACAACGAAAATTTCTGGGTCCCCGATAGTTAACTTTATCAAAACTCCTACACATAGCACGTAAATACTATCCGGAATAACAATAATTTTTCCTCAATATAAACGATCACCGGACGGTCACTAACACGATAATTTTTCCTGTCCAAAATTTATGGAAATAAAAGGCTCTGGGTCTTTGTTTGACTCACGCTTAATCCGAAGTTCTCGATGGTCTATGGATCGTCTAAGAATTTCCCAGAATTCCTTACAATAGATAACGAATATTATTCGTTGTCGGCTTTCAAGATAATGTATTGGGCGTTTTTTTTTTAATAGATGTATTGTAATCGTTCGCGTTAGAATAACTGAATATGGTCTGAAAAAATTCCAAAATGTAATTTTTATGTGCTGTATGTACCATATATATGTGTGTAGTCTTATGGGTGTATTCATTGTTTTTATTTCCATATTATAATGAAAATATAGAAATTGGAAACATGAAGAAATTTTTTTTTCAACATACTACACTAAGTATTATCATCAACATCAATTATCAAAATTAAATTTATTGTGGTTTCAGAAATATTAATATTTTTCCAAAAATCTATTTTACAACAATCACTCAAAAAATCATCATTAAAAAGAAATTCAATCATGGCTTAAAGAATGTATGTCGATACCTTCTTGATTCGGCCAAAATATGATGGGGATAGCATACTGAGCTGTTAAGTAACAGCAAATAGTTCGTGAAACATTTTTTAAAAAATTGCTTTTTAACGATTACCGAAAAAATGATCATCAAAGTTAATTAACTTATGAAATGCCTTTTTAATCAGATTACGAGATGATACTGAAATAAGAAAGTCTTCGGTTGATGAAAATAGTTATCGAGCGATTTGAAAATGCTTCAACCGAAAAAAAATTATTTTACTATGATCTAATTGAGATAATTCAAAACAATATCAACTTTTTTTCATGGAATCTAACGAACATTTTGAAAGAAAAAAGTTACAATCGGATGAAAAGTATGATGCAAAGAGTATTTTAAAGCCAAAAAAAAACGAAAAAATACGTTTTCGTTTGACGTACGGGGCAAAAGGGGTTGGGTAGAAAATTTTTCTTACTTTTTTAGGTACCCTATGAGATATCAAGTATGGTCCGATAGCTATTTTTACTAACCCAAGAATTTGGAATTTCAGTATGGTACCCCCTTAACCCTAGCTTGGTCACCATATGAGGGAGGTGCCGCAGCGCCTCGTTTTTCTTGAATTGCCATGGATTAACTGATCGGTAAAATTGAAAAAAATTTGACTTTTCCAATCAGTGTCTAAAAAATTTTAATAGTTATAGAACAACATAATTCTCAAAATTCCTAAAAAAAACAAATTATTTCTGACAGAGGAATTATTTTTTCCCATGTTAAATCATAGTGCCTGTTACGCGACGTTGCTGGAAATTCGCTAAACGCACCCGGGCAGTGTACAGTGAATTTGGCAATGTTCAGTCCTAAATAACACGGCGGCACTTCCCCGCGAACGTGACTAAAGTCGCTGGGTCGCGTAGGGTGACCAAACTAGGGTTAAGGGGATACGTCGGTGAAATTTAAGTCTTCATTGGGCCTTGGAACCCATTGAACCGTTTGTGATTTCATAAATTTTTCGCATCTCTAGAGTAGAGTAAAATTTATCAAATTTAAAATTCATTTATTCATGATCTATTGCGAGTAAACTAAAATGGATGCTTAACTCTATTTTTTGGAGTGTTACGAACATTAAAAAATAAAAGCTAAAATCGTATGAAAACTACATGAAAAGCGTTGATATTCGAGTCTTATCACTCCTGTATCCTTAAAATTTGTTATTGCAAACCCTCGAACGGATTAGTTGATTTTTGTAGCACGACTTTCGAATTGAAATGGACAGAAAAGGATCCCGAACAAATCCTAATAATCTTTCGCGGGCGAAAAAACGTAAATTCCGTGGCAATAAGTAAATCAAAGGTAATACATCACATAAAAAAATTTCATAGACAAACCTAGCGAATTCGCCAGATAGTTTTATTAAATTTCTATTGCACTTGCGATTAGTTTTTGGCGGATTCTATTGAAATATTTTCTATAGAATTTCCTCTGCTCAAATGTAATAAATTTTTTTCTTGAATTTTTGTAGTGAAAAAAAGAGAAATATAATGAAAAAAAACTTGAAAAATTTGAACCGAAGAAATTCTGTACAAAACATATCAATAGAATAAAAGTTGCATGGAAAAATCAAATTCTATTGTCTCTTTCTATAGAAAATTTTCTATTGAACATTTCAATAGAATCGGCCAAAAACAAACAGAAAGTTCAATAGAGATCCAATAGAATTAACTAGCGAATTCGTTAGGTTTTTCTATTAATTGCTTTCGTGCGTGTGTTTATATGCTCTAAATTATTGAAGAGACAAGCACCATTCCTCCTCTACATGAATTGTAGTTGTCATTCGTAGCTGAATACATTTCTAACACGAATTGTTATTTTACATCCCCCCTTCCCCTAAAAAAAGTGCTCCCAATGAATATTTAGTGATGAGTACTATTATGTTTAACCATTTGCTCCTCAAATAGTTGTTTACACCAGAAATGGCAGAACCAACGTATGCAGGTCAGAAAGTGGAAAACACGTATGAAAAAATTTTATACACTGAGAAAAAAATTTATTCCTTCCAAGAAAATATTCTTGGTGATATCTTTTTCATACTCTTAGTAGAAGAAAATATCTCTTTTCGAACGTATTTCTCCAGGCCAGTCATTTCCAGGTGCTCCGAAATCAGTTCCAAGCGTGAGAATTATGGTGATCTATAAGAATATTCTTCTGCATATGACCTCGAAGAAACTCCAATAATAATTATTAACATTTGGAATTATTCCAATTTTCTTTACCTGAGAAAATCGCCAATTTGTAAAATCCGGAAGATATCGGAGAACATTGTGTCAAGGTCATATGTAGCATAATAATCAGATTGTTCAATATCACTGTAATTTTTGAGGATAGACTTGGACTCTCTGAAAATGACTGTCCTGGAAAAATTCGTTCTGAAAAAATATTATCTTCTGACGAGAATATCAATCCTTGGCAGGAATAATTTTTTCGCTCAGTGTAGACAAACCTAGCGAATTTGCCAGGCAGTTTTATTAAATTTTATTGCACTTTCGATTAGTTTCTGGCCGATTCTATTGACATATTTTCTATAGAATTTGCTCTGCTCAAATTTTCGGAATTTTGTTGTTCGATTTTCGTAATGAAAAAAAAGAGATACACAATGAAAAAAATTTGAAAAATTTGAACCAAAGAAATTCGATACAAAATATCTTAATAGAATAAAAGTTGTATGGAAAAATCGAATTCTGTTGCCTCCTTCTATAGAATATTTTCCATTGAACATTTCAATAGAATGGGCCAAAAACAAACAGAAAGTTCAATAGAAATCCAATAGAATTGACTAGCGAATTCACTAGGTTTTTCTATTAAATTTTTTCGTGCGTGTAGCTATGCTTAGTCTAAATTGATTACCTATTTCGAATGATTTGTCCGGATGTATTTCCTTGAGACATGCTATTACGTATCTCGTTTGTATTAATGCCAACTGCAAACCAATAATGAATTAATAATTATGCAGAGACGAGGGCAAATGTATGTAAAAAAACTGTTGAAATTGCTGAGTAAGCATGAGACAGTACTTGACGGCATCTCTAGCGGTCTCGAACAATTCCTCAATCAAAACACTATGCAGCATTAAAGTAATCAACGAGAATCTCTAGAAAATAGTCATAGCTCATCCTGCATAATTCAAAATTGAAATTGAATTGATCAAAGAGCCTTTCATTTCCAGCAAGTTGAGTACAACAGAAATTTACTTCCAGTAATTAATTACTGAATTAATTAATATATCAGATGTAATGATGACAATCGTAAAGTTTATCACAGAAACCTTATCTCTAATTAATACTTACTTCACTCTTGCGTGAGCCAATCCGAATCACCTCAGCCGTACGACTGTCCTCTGCACTCATTGTAATTTCAACAATTTATTCAAAAATAATAGACGACGAAAAAAATTACCTCAAGTAAATAAAACAAGACTGTCTCAAAGTACAAAATTCCATGAAATTCGCGGGTGAATATAATCAACCGCCAATGAGGTCAAAGTCGTACTTTCACTCTTGATTATTTTCTCAGATTGTAGTGTATTCGTTAAATAATTCCAAGGGGATATATCCGTGACTCGAAAAAAATTATTTCGATTCGGGTTTTAATTTAAAAAAAATTATTTTATTTGCACTACGAGGACACTGGGTAGTTCACAGTCACTGTCACTGCAGCAGATTGTGAATGAATTATTTATTGAGAAAATAAAAAATATTCCTCTACATCACTGTTGTGGAAGTGTGCGCCATGTCGAGGGGGCACGGAGAGCGTGACTGAGCCATCCTTTATAAAAAAAGCATGCATTGGAAACTGTCATGGCGGAGAAGATGTAAAAAGTGTCATGGCGGCGCATGAAGGACGCATTCTCATGTGAACTTTCATGAGAATGAGCCATGCGGCCGCGACGGCACTGTTCAAGAAAGCCCGCGTAAATTATAAATCAGATTCTCTATGTGAAATGAAAAATTGTTCGAATGATGATTGATAATTGGATAACTTCAAAGCCAAGAATGGAATGAAGCAAGTGGGAAATTACGTTTATCGTCATATAGTATTGTTATTTTTGCTTATTGTTATATTTATCACACATGCAGTCAGTCAAAAATATGTTCTGGGTGTTTGGGAAATTGCTTTTTTGTCCATAATACATATAGTATGGTTATTTTTGCTAATAAATTAGCAATACACTTCCGGATGGTCATTTTGCATATTATTTTCTTCTGTCGTATATAATTCATCGTTTGATAATCCTCTTTTTTTTT